GGGACTTTGGGGACAGGGGACTGGATCCCCGGCTGGAGGTGTGAGCCCCGTGCCAGGGCTCGTGCAGGGATCCCCTTTCCCGGGCAAGTCCCTCGTGGCTCCTCAGGTGCTTTCTCCGGTGATTACGGGAGGACGGGGAAGGCTGTGGAGGGTGATGTGCACCCCTAGGTGCCACCCAGGTGGCTCTGGGCCATGCTGTGGGTCCTGCTCATTGCTGAGTGTCACTGGGCTTTGTGCAATGGCCCTTGACACTCATCCCTAATGCCCTTTGTTGCAAGGCTTTAGCAGCGCCGTGTTATCCCTAATCCACTCGCCCCTGGCGGCGTTGCAGCCCCGGGCTGGCAGCCCCAGAGACATCTGCCATGCCCAGGAACTGTCCCTGTCCCCAGCTGGTCCCCCATCCAGCCTTCCCTGGGGTGCAGGGATGTGGCACCCCTGGCCCTCACTTCCCGCCCTGGGCTGGCTCAGGGACTTGTTCCCGGTACCCCATGCAGGGGGCTGGACCCTGCCCCCTGCTCCGGGCCAGGGACCGGGGGTGGCAGTGGGCATGGCCAGGCTAAGGTGCACGGGGGGCTGTGGGTGCTGAGTGCAGGGATGTCCCTGAGCCCCCTTGGCACCCGCTGACCCTGCAGCGAACTGTGCCTGGCAGGATTTAGGGGGTTGCCCCGGGCACCGGCTGCTCCGTGCTGGGGGTTAGCAGGCCCAGGGATTTACTGTATTAGAGGAGCATCCGTTTGCTCGCCCTGACCTCCTTTGCCTTTCATCTCCCCGCTCCGACCAGCTGCCCCGCATCGATTCCCCAGGCTTTGTCTGGAGGTTCTGCTGTGGCCTCGAAAAATCCCGTTCAGCCCCTGTCTCTGCTCCCTCCAGGGGACCGAAGGTGGCTGGGGACCTCCTGTGTCCCCAGGCCTGTGGGGAGACAGAGGCAGCTGCAGCTCTGGGCTCTCCCTCCAGCTCCCAAACCTTCAGCACAGCGAGCAGCATCCTGCAAGCGAAGCAGCTCTGTGGTGGGGCCGCAGGGCCTTCAGCAGCCTCTGGCTCCCCGGACCTGTTGGGAAGAGACGGGCATGGGGTCACGGCACTGCCAGGGGCCTCCAGATGGGCAGGAAAGGGGCTCAGAGACCTGAGAGTGCCCGTCTCTGAGAGGGTAGGGTGCCAGGACATGGAGCTGCCCGAATGCAGGGGTTGGGGAATCACTAGTGTCCCTGTTGCCTCCCTGCCCTCTCCCCCTGGGCTCGGCGGGTAGAGCCGGAGGTTAAATCCGCTGGGTGGAAACCCAGGGGAATAAGCACACCCCAAACTTCCCGTGACATCTAAATCTCCTCTGTGACTGGCACAGTGCTGGGGTTTGGCTCCCCTGGCTCTGGGATGGGTGCCCAGGCCTGCATGGAAGTGCCCGGGCAGGCGTGTGAGTGCCTGGGAGTGCAAGGAAGGACAGTGGAGGCAAGGCCAGAACAAGAAAACAGCCTGCACGTGGCTGGCTCTGGGACAGCTGGGCTGTGCTGGGCAGACGTGCTCCCCGAGGGGCCACAGGACTGCCTTGGCACGGAAGTTGATGACCCATCTCCATCCCTCCCTCCGACCATGCCCCATGTCCCCTGGGGCCGGCCGGGCGGGTGGTCCTTGCTCAACGCCTCACTACTGTGGCTGGGTTTGAACCCGGCAAGACCCGGCTGCTTTCTCTCTGCCTGTGGAGGAGCCCTTGCACAGGGCCCGTCCTTGGTCCTTCAGGGCTCTTTCACTCAGGGTGACAGGAAGGGGAAAGTGAGAAGGTGGTGGGTGAGAGCAGGGAATGCCTCCAGGGAGGGGGGAGGGGAAGAAGAGGGTGGGCAAGGGGAAGAGAGGGGTGAACAAGCCAGTGTTGCTGTCCCCGAGCAGGAACCTCAAACTGTGCAATGCTCACACTAGCCAGTGCTTGTACAACCTACCCATGCACCCATCTGTCCATCCCTCCATCCATCCTCCCATCCATCCATCCTCCCATCCAGCCATCCACCCCCCCCAACCATCCATTCCTTTGTCCACCTATTGGTCCATTCATCCATCCATCTTTCCACCCATGCATCAATCTCCCCTTCTGTCCATTCATCCCTCCCTCCATCCCTGAATATATCTGTCTGTCCCTCCATACCTCCTGTCCGTCCCCCTCTGCGTGGTGCAGTCACCCTCGTTTCAGCCAAATGAGGGCAAAAAGTTTGGGGCACAGGGCATGGATCTGGGTCTGCAAGGACCTGGGAGCTCCCAGGGGCACCTCACATCTGCTGCGCTTCCTCAAACTGTCCCTTGTCTGATGATGTGACCTGGGGGGGGGGAATTCTCTAGTGTCTTGTAGGATCAGCAGCTCAAGCCCTGTGCGGGGCTCCCATCTCCCCAGCTCCAGGAGGGCCTCTCGGTGCGGGTGCTGCTCTCACAGGAGCACCCGTGCCGAGGCAGCTAATGGAAACATTTCTGAGCATCACTGGTGCCAGGGGAAGAGGGAAGCAGGAGGTTACTAAGAGCCTGGTGGAGCAGAGGGAAAAAACATCCCCTTTGGAGCTGCTCCATCCATCCTTTCTCTTCTCCTGGCTGGAGCGGTAGTGGGGAATGCTTAGAGAGCTGGGCTAGGCGGTTGGGCAAAATGCCATGGCCAAAGGGATGGTAAAATGGATGCCTGTTTTGCCATCCCTTTGGCCATGGCGTTTTCCCATCCTTGGTCTGCTGCCTCTGTGAGTGGCTCCCCCCCTCCCCCCCCCCGGGCCTTCGCACTTACTCCCAC